TCGTGAGATTTCGCGAACTTGGCGCAGTAGGATGTATCATGCCACTAGGCACTAGATACCGAGCAGATAATCATGGAAAAGAAATGAGCATGGGCCTCCCTAATCCTCTTGGCCTTCAGTTCAGCTTTCATTTCGCTGTTTTTCTCCTGATGCTGCGGCGTGTCTTCGAAAGGAAATCATTCATGATGAAATGCATTCATACGCACTCCTTCAGTGCCTTCTTTTTTTCCTGCCAGGCAAAGTTTGCGCAAAAGCAACATTGGGAGGCATGTGGGCATCCCTGGTGGCAGTGTCGTTGCCTTCATCTTCTCCATTTTCTCATCCATCCTCAGCTCGGCTTCCTGATACCAGGTTCAAGCTACTTCCAAACAATGCTGAGTTTCCTAAGCTTTGGCCTCGCGTGACCTCTTCAATTTCTTCTCGACCTCCCTCTTCTCGCTCTCCGAGGCCTGACAGGTACCGTTAACCAAAACCTGCGGAATGAGGTCCAAAGCCAGTGGAATGAGGTGGGATGAGAATGCGTGCGCCTGCACTGCTCCATGGAGATCTTGATGCGTCCGCTTGAGGGACGCTGCTTCTTTCTCCAGCTCCTACCAACATGTCTACTTTCTCCATCTCTAGCGAAGGCACCCCTCACAGAAGTCCTGCCTTCCGACGCTCCTCAGAATTCTTCAGATCAGACTTCAGTGCTTGAAGTTCTTTGGCGAGAGCCTGAGCGGGCTTCAAAGACACTTGAAAGATTCTTCTTGGGAATATGGCCTCCTTCTTGGATGCTGCTTCCATGGTGGTCGTTTGAAGGTTTTGCTTCGCTTTAATCGCGGACTCCTTTGCACGTTTGGCCTGCAAGCAGAGGCCGACAATCTTCATCTAGCAAACTAGCACACGCGTGCTTAGAATCACACATTTCAAACTGTTCAGACAACAAAGCGATAGTCGTGTGTAGTCTTGCAAGCATTGAGAGGGGCCTCTTCAAGTTCAGCAGTCAGTCGGAGAATCTCTTGCTGGGCGTCGTTGGCAGCGGCCTGCAAGAAGATGGGTAGCTTTCAAACTTCAAATTTTGAACAGACGAAGCACTCACTGGCCTGGGCTCTCAGCCCGCCCTCAGCCAGTGCCCGGCTGATAGCGAGGTCGCCCGAGAGCTTTCGGCTCCGCTCCTGTTCATGAAAGGATGATGGTTGATTTGCAACCGTGACTGAGCAAGTTTTTTGGCGGCTTGGGCCTCTGCGGCATCCAGCTGCTGGCGCAAGGTCTCCATTTTTGCCACTTGTGGGGCCCGGTAGGCTTCGCGTTCTTGTTGCTTCTTTGACCTCCTATCATTCCCTCTCGGGTCATCCCCGGAGCCGGACCCCCTTCCTCCGCCTCCATCACCTCCTCGGCCCCTCCAGCTGGAGCCGCGTCCACTCCAGTAGTGGTTTGGCTGTCCTCTACCCATTGCGCCAAGAGGATGCTACGTTAGCAGCGTGTTCCCTAAAAAATCTGAGATCACCAAGGGTCTGACTTTACTCCAGATCATGTACGGCTTTAGGCTTTAGAGGAGGAGGGTACCTTAAACAATAGAAGGGTATCATTGTGCGTGATGGGGAGACCCAATGCGTTGGGGCTTCTTTTGCAGATGCTGCCCATGGCTGCGCGCAAACAGAGACTGACACATCAGCCATGCGTTCCAAACATGTCCTAGGCATGACAGCTTTGGCGGCGCAGCCCTTGCGTTCACAAGTTCTCACTGCAGCTTCTGAGGCGAGAGCGGTGGACCACAATCTGGCGGGGCTCTCAGACTGTGACTGCAGAGGTGCCTGGGTTATGCGCAACAGCAGAATTGCTTGTGTCAAAACCAGTCTCCATTCCGAAGCTGTCAGTCTTGTAACTGCGGCGGTGCAGCAACGCAACATGCCTGTCAAGCGTTGGTTAAAATGCTACGAAACATTTTAAACAATTTCCTACTGGCGCTTTTGAGGCACGAGCTAGCCAGACATTCTGGCGGGGCTCTGAGACGGCAGAGTTGCCTGGGTCATCTGTCAAAACCAGTCTTAAGCATGCTCCCAGAAAGCCGGTGAAACCCTGAGTCTAACTGCAGAGTGGGTCATTGACAGAGTATAGGCTGTCTCTCGGGGGTACGTTTTGGCAATTAGGGGCTCCTTGTTAGGTCTGGTAGTTTTGGGGGCTGGGAAAGCAGACGAAACAAGACGAAAGGGAGCTACGGGAGCTACGGGGCCTCTAGGGTGGCCTTTTCGGAAGGGGCCGGTTCCGAAACCCGCCATGTATCGGAACCCTCACCGGAAGCTCACTGCTGCCGCCCAGGCGGCGCCCACTACAAGACATCGGGCCTTGATCTGGCTGCGCTGGGGCCTGGGCCTTTAAAGTCCTGTTGTCCTGCTCACGCTCCATGTTGTGATGTTTGCAGATGCTGTTCGAGCTGCTGTAATGCCTAGTTTTCTTTCCAGCTATGGGCAAAAAGGGACCCAAGCGCAAAGAAGGTAGCAGTGTGAAACAAAGGTGCTGCTACAAGAATTGCCGCAAGAATTGTGATGTGAAAAATGTCGGCAAGCATTTGATGATCCCGTATGTCAATGTAGACAAGAGCAAGTGTCGACGGTTGCGGTCCACGTGTCGCACTGCAAAGTTCTGTTGCGCTGAACATTTGCGGCTAGCTCGACTTTCTAAGAGGATGGCGCAGCGCGGAGAACGCGGCAAACACCCTATGGACCAACAGCAGCTGCGCAAGTTGTTTTGCACTTTCCTTGACATTGGCTGTGTCTGGGTGGCTGTGCTTCTGCTTATTCAATTCTTCATGGGCGACCGCGCTGACGCTGCTCGTAACTGTAGGTGGAGTTGGCTCTCCATTGACCCCTCGGGGGCAGACATCCCTGCCATTCAAATTCCCAAAGTGAATGGAAAAACAGTGGAACGCACCAACACACTACATTCAGCGTTCGCAAAACAATTGTGGTCCTGGGCTTTTCAGAAACCCCTGCAGGCTGGAGGAAAGCAATGGCCAGCAGAAAACCAGCCAGTGGGCGGCGATGAGTTGCTCTTCCCCGGGTTTGACAGTAAAGGCCAACGTCGGCAATGGTCCAAACCCATATCTGTACGGGCCTACTGCGAGTCCATCCGCAGAGCTGCCAAAAAGCTTCAAGAGGAACGAGCAGCTGCAACATTGGCTGGAGAAACCCATGCGTTCATGCATTACGACCTTGCTAAGCTGGGCACGCATAGTCTGAAGAAAACGTTCGTCTGTCTCCTGAGCGAAGCAGGGGCTCCCTACCCCATCATAGAATCATTGACAGGCACGTCGGCAAGGGTGTTGCAGCAGCACTATGACATGCCCACACCTACTCGTCAAGCTCGAGCACTGAGTGATGTTTTAGGAGTGATGTCGAATAGCACGCCCCAGATCGACTCTTCGGCAATTAAGGCAAATGCTTCTATGTCACAAGGAGAGAAAATCTCTTTTTGTGGGTTCTGTGGGGTTCGCGTGGCCTCCAAACAGCATGCCTTCTGCACCTCTTGTGGGAGGAAGCTGAGTCCATGACAGCTGACAGCGGTGCTGCTGACAAGGGTCGGCGTCTGTTGGTAGCTGCGAGTCTGGCGTCAATGATGACGCCTGCTGTGATGAATGTATGGTCAATGCTTACCAGCTTGCAGTCAACATGGAGTTGCGCGAGCGGAATCAACATGACACGGGCTGTGAATGCCATGCTGCACATGCTCTCAGAACTCCTTATTTTGCAGGCACATGTAGCAGTCAACACCCCAGCAGTCCACTACAGGGTCAGGTCGGAGCTTTCCACACGCAAGCTTCTCCAAAATTGCTGCTGCGCGGGCAAAATCAGACAGCTGTAGCCGCAACTTAGGAATCTACAATGAAAATTTGCGGCGCTTACGCTCTGCGTCCGTCATGCCTGCAATCAGGGCCACCCTGTCTGGGTGCACCAGCCAATCCTTGTTCGCGGCCTTGCGCGCCTCAGACTTGCTCATGCCGCATTCGCTCAAGTAGTGCTGGGATCTCTCTGCCATCACCTTTGTGCGCAACTTCAGCATGACGCCTCCTTAGGTATTCGGGTGCATACTCCAAAAAAGGAATGGCACGAGCAACGCAACATCACTGCTCTTGAATAATGAGCATTGCCCAGGAACCCGAGTGTCCATCGTCCTTCTTGGCCTTGGTCTTTGAGTTGTTGGCCTGCTTTGCGGGACAGCTACTGTCGCCCTCATCGAACTCGCCCTCTGACCCATGCGGCACATCAGCACCGTCCTTCTTGGCCTCGGTCGTTGAATTGTTGGCCTGCTCTCCGGAACTGTTGCCCTCATCGAACTCGCCCTCTGACCCATGCAGCACATCAGCACCATGAATACTAGGCGACTCTGTGGTGGCAGAATCCGCGGAACATCCAACACCACGAGCTGCAGCCGGCTTCTTTCTGGGCGACTCTGTGGTGGCAGAACCCGCGGAACATCCAACACCACGAGCTGCAGCCGGCTTCTTCATGGCGCCCTCGCCGCGGCCTTTGCCTTTGCTGCAGCCCTTCCCTGCTGTCCCAGGAAGGGGCTTCTTCTTCGGCTGGGGCTTTGGCTTCACGGTCACAGTCTGCAGCTCGGGACGCGAAGCTTCGTCCTGCTTTCTCTTGGAATTCAAATAGCTGAACACCTGGGCCAAAGCAGCCAGGCCTGGACTCTTGGGCTTCTCCTGCTGCTCACTCTTATCCCTCAGGTTCTGAAGCAAGTTCTCTGAGCTCCAGGTGCGCTGAAGTGGAGCCGCAGCGGCACGCGCAGNNAGACTGACTGCAAAGGTGCGCGGATCGCTGCAAAAGGTCAACTACGCATCTTCTAACTATACAACCCTGATCCCCAGCTTCCTGCAGCAAAACTTGCACGTCAGCCCTGCGTTGGCAAACTCCCCATCGAACGATCAAGATGCTACCTTTTTCAGGTAGCTTCCGACGCTGGGGCTGCCAGATCCGTGCTGTGAAATGGCCCTCACACGAGCCTCAAAATCATGCCGCCTGCAAGCTCCATGTCGTGACCGCCGCTGTTCATGGCATTCTTGAGATAGTAAATCGCTCGTTTGGGAACGATTGCGCCTTGAGTCGGGTCAACCATCAACCTCCATACCTGCATCACTCGCTCGCTGGCATTCAGAGTAGCGCTGGGGAAGCAGCCAGCCACATTGGACAGTCTGGCCTGGCTCAGTTGAACATCCTTGGGCTTGTACACCCATGTAACGCCCTCCGTCCGGTCCTCGACAACCTCCCAGGTGTCGCCACTGGCCGCGCGGGCTGTTGTGTGACCATGGATCTTCAGCTCCAAGACGCCAGCGGCCTCCGCCTCATTCAAGATGCTGCGAATCGACGTCAGCTCGAGGTCCTCTGATTTGTCGTTTTGGTTGACTTCGCAGATCACCTCATGCTGCGAGCAGTTGAACAAGTTTGGGATGTCGGGATTGCTTAGGGAGGTTGGGGGGAACCAGAAGCAACACGACTCATAACTCTCTCGATTTCAGGCAAGGTGCCGGAGCACTGTCATCCTGCAGGACGAAGGTGTGCAGCATGGTCTCACCCGGGTTGGCCAAGAGCCTGGTGCTCGCTGGGGGCCTGATCCAGTCAGCATTGCCTGTTTCGAACAATGGCTTCTGGTTCGAGATGCGGATTGCGTCGCCCTTAGCGTGGATGTACAGCTCCGTGGCACCCCCCGTTTCATGGAGGATGTACTCGCTGTTCGCGATGTGGCCAGCGAAGCTGTGGATCGTCCCCTGCAGCGTCTCCCGGCTTTTAGGCTGCCATGCGTCTGCTGTCACAAGTACTGGCGCTGCTTCCTCACTGGGCGGCTCTGTGGTCGTCGCGCTGGTGCTCACGGCCGCGATCCAGGTATCGATCTTCTTTAACTCATTCACCCAGTCGTGGCTGTACACCGGATCACTGGCCCATTTTTTCCGCACGTCTGTGGGGATGGTGATGTTGTTGCTGTCGTGGTCCAGATGGAGCAGCTCCAGCACAGGGATGTCCGGCCCCTGGACTTTGTCCTCCTCCTCCTGCGGAAGTGCACCTGAGAAGAGGAGCTGTGGGGCCGGCATGTAGGTGAAGTCCCCACTCTTCCAATCGAGCAGGAGCTGCTTGGCAAGACGCATCTGGCACACCTGGGCAGAGTCCGGGCTGTGAAGCGATGGAGAGCAAACCGGCCATCTCTTCTTGAGACACACCCTCTCAAGGCAAGCGTCGTACGGTGTTGTATGGAGCACCATCACGCTGTCCCCGGAACGTAGCAAAGGCTTTGCGCTGGGGTGGCCTTCGATCACCAAGGACTCCAAGAGTTTCTTCGGCACGTCCTCTCCTCCTAAAAGTTGGGCTGCTCGCTTTTCCAGAGAAAGGTTAGCCATTGTGCTGCTCTGGCCCGGCTCTGAAACTGCAATGAAAAAGTCAGCGGGCGCAAGCCATTCTGCTTCTCCCAGGGTTGCTCTGCGTCGAAGAAGCCACGCGTCAAGAAACCAAGAGGTCTCCTCCGCAGCCTCCGGGATGAGGACATAGCACTCGTACATCAGGGACCTGTTGTCATTCCCGTGGAGCTGGTTGGATGACATCCTCAGTGTTGACAGGAGAGGAACCAACTTCTTGTTCACGCACTTCTCCTCCAAACGAGCGCGCTCAACTCTAGCACCTGGCACTGGGCTAAGGTCTGAGGGAAACATTTGAATAACCGCATGAAAAGCTGTCCGAAAGCTAAAAGCCATTTCCCACCTCCGGATCTCTTCCTGCTGGTCACACTGGTGAGGAGCACCACAGCGCACGAGCTTTGTGGATGTGGCGCCATGAAGTCGGCCAAGAAGCGGATCATGCTGTCAAGCTCGGAGTCTGTGACACGGCCGAGCTTGTTGAAGTCTGTGTAAGCAATGCGCAGCAAGTGCCCGGAGCCACCACCCACCGGCGCAGATTTCACAAAATCCTGCCACACAGCCAGGGCAGTCGGAATGTCCCGGGTCGCCAACACTTTGCAGGAAGTCTCCATGAAGGGCTGGATGATGTCACTGCGCCCTTTGTGAACCTGCAGCCGGACGTGGGCGTTTTGCGCAAGCTTTCGGGCCTTGCTGGTCTTCGCCTTGCCGTCGAAGTACTTCATGAAAAGGGCCGCGTCACGGGTAAGTGCAAGCAAGTCAGTCTTGAACTGACTTTCCTTCCTCGCCATGTCCAGCGTCTCAATGTCACCTTCTTTGAAGACTTGCTTTTGCCCGTGGGTAGCCTTCAATGGCTCCCACATGGGGAAGTCCTCGAGGCTGTACTTGGGGTCCCGAGCGTTCACATGCTGCCTGAAGGCTGCCATCCAATCTTGCTCAATGATACGCGTTTCAATGACCGTCAGCTCTGCTGCCGGGACTTGGCAGTTTTCCAAGAAGTGGCCGGCCCAGCAAGAGTAGTCGCACAACATGTTCCAGGAATCCACTGTCATTGCGGAGTTGCTGGCTCCGGTTCTGAAGGAGCGATCTGCCTCAGAGGCAGGCGAAAGCAAAACCACAGCACACCAACATTGGAGCATGAAATCGTTTCTTCCCAATCAGTCCTCGAATGCCAGCACCTTGAAGAACAGAATCTGCTTCACCCTGGTCATCGTTAACATGCCAACCCAAGCATCTTGGGCAGAAGAACCGCGCCCTCGCCCTCCGCCAATTATCCATCTCTTGGTCTCCAATGTCTTCCTACTGAAGGGTGTTTTCTTCTCGGGCATCTTCATCAGCAATTTGGTCATCTCCACAATGGCCTGTCATACACACATTCCCTCATTGCAACAAATAGAGATGGCGCCCACAGCATGCACAGCGCACGCACACAGACGGCAACCCCACATGGCCTCGATGTCGGAGTGGAGAAGCAAGTTCTCCACGCATGTTCGTTGAGCCAAAGTCAGCTGGTAGCTCGAATTGAGGCCTATGGAGCCATGCTTGTTGACCTCTGAGAAGATCTGACTCAGGAGGCTTTGCTTGCAGGCTAAGTCAGCTGTCTTCAAGGCGATGCTTTTCTCTGCAGCCAGATGCCGCATGGCATCATTGATCTTCACAGCCAGCGACACCACGGTGATTGGCGCCCGCTGGGCCAATGCCTGGCTCTGCGCGACACACTCATAGTGTGTCTCACGGCTGTTCTGGAACTGCTTCTCAAAAACGTAGATCGACACGCAGGAGCACAGGAACCTTAATGGAGACAAGATTGATGCTCTAGATGCGGGATTTTGCCATCATGCAACATGGTAGAGCAACATGTGGAGATGTCCCCGTCACAAGTTCGCCTAACGAGAAAGCCGGGAAGCTCAGCTGGTCAGTTTCGGGAAAACTCGCCTGGAAAAGAACCAACCAACATCAAGAATAGATGAGTAGCTAGGCAGGTCAATATTCGCCGGAAAAAGGGTGCCCAGCTCCATTTGTGATGTCTGGTCCGTTTCCAGGAAATTCGCCGGACCCGAAGAGGCGAGGGTAACAAGCAGGATTGGACCCAGGGTCAGCAGCTGGCCACCAGCATGGGGGGTCACCGAACCCCCCAAACCCTACTAGTCTAGCACACAAAAAGGATCTGGTGAATTTTCAGGAAAATCGCCGGACATCACGAATTGAGCTGAGCGCCCCTTTTCTGGTGAAGATTAACCTAGGATTGACCTTCTGCGTGCCGGAATGGCCACACGGATTTCTCTTGAATTCTTATGCGCAAGCCACCCCAGCAACATATAGATGATTCGCGGACAACTGAGCGGCCTTAAATGCTTAATCACTTTGCAATGTTGCAGCTGGGAAACTGCTTCCAATTCTCCACATCCTCCTTGAGCTTTTCGTCATTGCCAATGCTCTTGGCATCCACCACTGCTGCTCCGCGCATGACTGCAAAGAGCATGGCAGTGACGCGGCTGAACCCCTTCCCTGCAATCTCAAACTTGCTGGGGTTCCCGGAGCCCAAGCTCTGAACAGTGATCACTTCCCTGTTGTCGTAATGTGACGCCACAATCTCCCGGAAACAATTCATCCACTGGTCCATCTGCGGAAGGTCGGTCACGGTAACAGCGTGAGGACCTGTGACAGCTGCACCGACAAAATCGACAACACATCCTATGGCCCTACATGGCTGTTCTTGAGTGCAAAACACACTGACATTGGCCACGCCTGCATCATCAGCCAGGAACTGTGCACGCTTCAGCACAAAGGAGTCCAAACTGATGTGATTCGCAGGCTGCCCAGGGGCATTGGAAACAGAATCCAGGATCTTGCGCAGATCGCTGCGGGAGGGCGAGTCCGGGGAACCAAAAGCCTCTAAGGCCCACGCTCCAGGATGCTGGCCAGCAGCAACCATGGCCTCCAGCTCGTGCAGCAGGGCCTGCCCAGGCCAGGTTGCGAGGTTATGACTGTCATGAGTTTTCTTCATGACAGGAAGCGTGCTGCAAACTGCTGCCACCTACCTCTTGGCACTTCGATCTCAGCTAGGACACACAACTCAGCAACGCAAGCTGACTTTTTTGCTTCAGAACAAACACGGTCCTATTGGTCCTAATGCCTCCTGCTACTCGCTGCCAGAACGGCAACCCTCTAAGCTGATGATGGAATCAGAGAAATCACATCGAGGACGCCGGCAGCTTTGCTGCCAAAATGTGGTTCCGGTCGTTGTTACACCGGATCACCCCCAGAGGCAAAAGGCATTGTCATGTCATGTCCTGTCTGGTTCTGTTGGCCACTAGACTCTTGCACCTCAATATCATGAACAACACACTGGACTAGGTATTTCCCTGCGCAGGTCATGGCAACCTATCGCGCAAAACGATGGCCAAGAATGTAAGTGAAACACACGGCGCGAACATGGAGTTGCCGGCCATTGCCACGAGGTCGCTGTTGCTCAACTCTTCGGGGAGCTGGCGCTTGCTCAAACCTGCTGTCTCACAGTCGGACAAGTGAACAGGCCACCCCAAGGCCCTCATAAGCTGCTTCCCACTGAGAAACTCCTTCACAGACTGAACATAGAGCTTGCTGTTACAGCGAAGTGAGCCCAAAGACCCATCCACGAGCAAGGTCACCGGCTGCTTTCCGCTCTGACTCAAATCGACGATTGCGCACCTGTTCAGGAGCGGCTTCTTCAACTTGCGATACTGGGTCAAGTACTTCTTCTCGCCCGGAGTGAGCTTGCGCTTGGAGTTCTCATCGGGCTCTGCTGCAAACATCATTGGACTTGCCATGACTTCCTTGTTGAAGCGGTCCAAGACATGCTGCACTTCATCAAGCCACGAGCCAGGATTGCAACCCAACCACGCTCTGCCTAGCCTGGTGAGGATGAAGTAAAGCCTTGGCCGACTCATGGGGTAGCCAAACAATCTCGGGTCCAGCTGAGCTTTCTGGAGTCTGTAGAGGTCACCGAAATTGAGCTTCAAGACCTCCTCATCGTAGGTTGCCACGTTCTCAAAAATGATGATCTCAGGCTGCTCCTCACGCATCAGAGCCATCCATGCCTGACATCGGACATAATATTGAAAGTACACGATCTGCTAAACAAACCCGAAAGAAGAAATGAAGCTGAAAACAAGATCCAGCCAAGGAACCTTGTGATGCTCGAATCTCGGATCTTCGGTGCCCTTTCGGCTCCGTGAGAACTTGGACCATGGAGGGCACGGGGGCCCAGCACACTCCAGGCGCAAGAAGGCATTGGTGGGCCGAACAGGACATTCCCGCTCATGCCGCCAACACCAACATTTTGAAGGAAACTTCTTGGCTTTGGCTGCGGTGGTCACCCCATCAGCCTCGGGGTCTAGCTCCAAGACAAAGTCGCTGATATCTGAGAAGATGCACCGCGTCGTGTGCGAGCCCATGAGTACCTTCGCACACTTGGAGTCCCACTCGATGGCTCTGCCATAGACTAGCTTGATCCCCAAGGCGCTTGCCATAGCCTCGATCCCGATCTCCCCAAAGCCTGCGCCACTGAAGCTTGACGTCATGTAAATGCTGGAGTGGGACTCAATGCCAGATTGGAGTGTCCTTTCTCTCCCCGTCTGAGACATAGCATCGGCCAGGAGCTGGGAGATCTGGAATACATCCGAGACATGGTTGTACTTGAAGATCTCCGTCCTGCCGCGCCTTTGGCGCTTCTCTGCGGGGGCTGCTTCTCTGGCCATGTTCTCGAACAAGCTCTTCACGTTTCCTGCAGGTCGCTTCGCAACCCGCTTGCCACCCTTAGGTTGCTGAGCCATGGCTGCGAACATCTCCATCCGGGATTGCGCAGGAGCCATTCCACTGAGAAAGAATTGCCGAGACCACCGCTGTGTGAGCCACTAATCACTAGCGGGCACACCAAATCTTGGTCATGCACGCCAACACTCTTCCAACAAAATATTGATAAACCCTAAATCCTATATAAACCCTCAAGCTCAGCTCTCAGATGCGGCGCTGATTCCCAAACAATGGCACTGTACTGCTGCACACTTATGCTTGCAAGGCAAGATCCAGATCGCGCGATTCTGGGAAATCCACATTTGAAGCTGGCTGAAGCCCTACTCCTCAACCGGCCTGGGCCGCATAGCAACTCTTGTCAAAACAGCAGGAGCCAGTGTCTGAAGGACCTTCACTTCGTGACGGGCTGCAGCCTCTAGACCTGTGTGGCCACTGGACATTTCGTACCACCGCAGCCTCGGCAACTGCGTAGCTTCTCCCCGCTCGCCGCTGGCCAGGGCTCGGAGGTAGGCGACACTGCGCTGCATTTCTGAAGGCTCAAAAGTTTCTAGAAGCGCATCGGCGCACAGCAAACAACCTTCCTTCAATTTCTGCTTGACGGGCGCAGGTCGTAGATGCGCTGGAGGCCATCTGAAATGCTCTCGCAGGCTGCGAAACAGAACATGCGGCATTACCGCGCGAGGTGGTCCACAAATATCTGTATCAAAGGAAAACCGCTTCGTGAGCATAACGACATCGCAAAGGTGGGCAGTGTATGAAGGGATGGACCGACCAGCCCCGGTCGCAGGCACCACAATATCTCGCTGTGCCGCTGGTGGCACATCTTTACGGCACATGAAAAGGAAGCAGTGCATGCCAGATTTGTCATCTCTCATCCCGCCTTCGAAATGGATGCCTAACGGCTCGAAGTACTCCTTGAAGTCTCGCACTCCCTCCACGATTTCGACAGTGATGCTCTCACCTTCTGTTGTCAGGAAATCCTGCATGGAAGGTCTCTTCAGAATGTCCAAAACTTGATCAGCAACATCTTGTAAATCCCTGAGCACATCGCAATGCTGAAAAAGTCGGCTGATGACACCGAAGACTTGGTCGAGGCAGTTGTGCGTGTGACCTTTCTGATGGAAGAACATACCGGTCAAGTCGAACATATTCTTGGCCACCAGCGTCGACATCAGATGCAGCATCTGATTATTTTTGTTTTCGCGCACGGTATTGTCTGATATGATGATCAGTGAGCGCGGCAGGTCCTTGCCTTCGG